GGTGACAAGCTTGACTATGGGGGATACCAACCAACACACCCACACGCACATGAGCATCATCCCAGTACTCTAGGATTAGATGGGAATGTCGCGATTCAAAGGATAAAATGGAAGCGGTGAATTATCACACCAGAGTTTATGACATAAGCCAGACAAAGGGCCCTAAAGAATGAGGCACAATGTGGGTGGATAGAAGATAATAGAGTCATGGGTTTGAAGCTTATGGAGAGGAATATTCCCAGGCAATGACATGTGCGTGAGCATAGACATGGGCATCATCTGATTTAAACCATCGAATATTGCGTAATCGAGGACAGGAATTGAAGGCTCTTAGGCAGCCAGATTTCAGACAGCCAAACAGTGATTTTTATGCTTAGCAGTGGCCAATTGACAAGCGAATAGGAAAAAGGAGGGGCAGAATGTAGGTCAGGAGCCCCTCAAATAGCATCTGGTACCGATGGTGGAGATGATTGCGCTTCCCTAAACCCACTTGTAGCCACCCTCTTAGGCGAGATTGGAGGAAATGAGAGCACAGAAATGTGTGAATAAGTGGATGGGCCATATGAAGTGGGGTTGAGAGAAACAGATGCGGCACTAGAAGATAGAACAAAAAAATAGGGGCAATGAGTGATGCCACAGCGGTTGAACAGAAAATTGGTCAAGGATTGCCAAGTCAAGGATTGCTTTTACTTGCCACTGATAAGTTGTAATTCTGTGTTTACGATGGTGTTTCTCACTAAGGATGCCGACTACGATGCCGGCAAAGCGTTTAGGAATGTACCCAGCCAATGGTTCAATGCCGAAAATCACGAATACTATGGCATAGGACACGGGACTTGGTAAGTTCCACAAGGTCTCCCCGACGCTCCAACCAAGTTGCGAAAACAAGGTCGAACCAATAATAAATAAAATTCATTGATATCTCTAGCCATACTCATATCCCTATATACAAATTCTACCCCATTTCTACCCATGTTCTTAACTAAAAACCATATTCATCTTAGGTCGCATAACCTGATGAAGGATTGATAGTTGACTTTTCCCATAATCATATCAGTAGATCTCCATTTTCTATTCAATTTCGCACAGCCCTGCTTTCTAAAAATGGAACTTGAGGTCATATCCGATTGTAGAAAAAGTCAACTTTCAGTCTTTCATCATCTTATATGGCATATGGTAAACACGGCTCTTATTCGAGAATCGCTGGTAGTTTTAGAACAGAATATGCTCCTGAACGCACTGTTCACCAACTTAGGGAACGAAGACAGCAAGAGATTGGTTGGGCATACTCTCTGTATGCTGTCTAGCCGTTTAATGCGTAATGTGTTTATAAGCACGCTTCAGAGGCTTAGAAGAGCACGGAAACTGAAGCCAAGATCCAAATGTGATCGGGTGAGTCGGTTGCCTGGCTGGCATGAGGAGACACGGATCACGGAGTAGACACACAGAGGACTGGTTGAACAAGGACTGGTCACCGAGACCAGTTCAGCCATCTTCTGCCTTTACTTGAAGGTTGACCTCTGCATAGCTGTCAGCGAAATGTCATCTCGCCAAACCAGGCTAGTCCCCACAACGGGGTTGGACGGGGGTTTGCTGTTTGCATGACCAATGCTATCCCAGCAGCTCGTCTCTCCTCGGGCCTGGACGACGGTGAATCATGCTGTTTCTTATGGTATCTCACCCCAGTTGTGTCTTTTCTAGTTGGTCCAGGTGTTTGTAGACTTGTCCGCTGTCGAAAGAAGAGTTGAAGAGCTCCATGTGTGCCATGCGGCTCGAGTGTCGTTCTATCGTCTCGTGTTGGCCTCATACAACTGCTTCTGGATTTGCATACATTTTCACCGTGTAGACTGGACAACCGGCCAGCTTGAGCCGAGAGGACGTGTCTTATCGTCACGTATCTCATTTTGCTACCGCACAGTACCAGGTACGGGAGTAAATAGGACCGGTCTATTGGCGTATATTTTTGGCCTGTCTCTACGTCTATCTTTAAGTATGGCTCAAAGTTGTGCGTATGTTTTAGCCATGGTGCACGTACTAAGTGTGCCAGTAAATCTGGCTCTAAACTCGTGATGAAGAGCCAGCATCTGAAGCCGTGCCCGCCCATGACCTTATCCAAGCCCGGTGCCAGTCTTGCCACCACAAGAGGTCGGTTGTCCTGCCTCCCGACTAGCCTAGTGGGCACACTCATGGCGCGTATTCGACACTGAAATGTCGCCTGGTGCGCACATAGTGAAGTCCCGTCATGGTGACAGGTTGGCCAGTAGAGGGTTTAACTAAAGTTTGTCATGGCCAGCAGGTCTGCAAGAGCCGAAACCTCCACCTAGTGCAGCGTCCGGTGGTGGTTCAACCGAGGTCGCAGGTTCTCTCGTCCAGCTCTTTTAAACAATCTTCACTCGAACATGCTAAGATTTAGGAGCGCCAGATCCATTTCGACCATGAATCTCAACAACCTCGTCCATATTGCACTTTACTGGGGCAAGGGTCTTATTACAAGCCTCCCAGATTATAGAACGATTTGAGATAAGAACACATTGATGTTTTAAGTATAGAGGATAAACGCGCGTTAGCGAGAAATGAAATCAACAAATTTTAATCGAAGGTATGAAGACCAAGATGGTGTGGACTTTTGTGTGGTAGCAGTCTCCTTTCGTTGTATGGAAGTTGTTTGACCTTGTTTTCGCAACTTGGTCATATTGGTAGGAAGACTTAGACGAACGCGCCTAGTCCGGAGTCCATTGTATGCATCATTTCCAGAGTAGGACCGTGAAAGTGCCGGCGAAACGTCTGGGAATGTACCACGTCCACGGTCCTACTCTGTAAATGATGATGCATACAATGGA